CAACACACACCCGTTCTCGTCTCGCGTATCCGCTTACAACCGGTCCGGATACGATACTGACATTATGTCATACGAATATAAAAACCAAGCGAATAATTTCAGCGGGATGGTCAGCAGTTTTATTTGACAATCACGAAAAAAAGTACATGTGGGCAGTCTTCTCAATTTTATATTAAAATCAATTTCAATCTTAATGTTTTTATGTCGCGTCAATATATATTCCGCTTATAATATTTTTAAAAAATTCTGTATTGGCTCTTAACGAATGTATAAAATTTTTAATTTTGAAAGCAAAAGAGATCGCGTTAAAACTATCCAGTTCTCATCGATTCGAATCGCATGCCTTTTTTACGCGAAAATATCTTTATAAACTACGTTTATAAAGTTAAGGTATTTATGACATCTAATGCATGTAACTTTTTAATGACGATGAAACGTCAAAACAGCAATCAGTATCCGACTGCCGTAATCGATCATAGCCAAATTTCAAATTTGCGTAATTCTCAATCAACAAAGTCTAACGTTGCAATCCCAGTTTTAGGAAATACGACACCTATCGAATATTTATTTGCCTATTTATAGTGTTACGACTATGTATAATACGAACGAGAATGAGTAAGCACGAATGAGAATCACTGTTCAAGAGAGCTCAAGGTGAACGAGCTTCAAAGTGGCAATGGTGAGCTGCGAAGAGCTACGTCGAGACAAGCGAAGGGTCCGTGGGCCCTAATGCTCGCATAGTTTCTTACACGGAAAGTGCACGAAACACCTCCACCTCTCCCTATTTTTCTTGCACTTCACAGCTGTACTAATTGAGTAAACAATTATTCGCGAGAGTACAAATTTATAATGTCTCAAGAGTTTCCGAGGAAACAATATATGTATGTAAACATCATAAAACCACACAAATACAATGCAAATATATGTACATAAAAAAAAATAATGTTACTGAAAAAATTCATTAATCTTTTTCACATTTTTCAGACTGAAATAGGAAGTTTCAAAAATGGAAAGGATTAAAAATCAAAAATATGTTCAGTTTAGACTGGATATCTTTTGTAAAAAAAGAAAAAATAATAATAATACTAATCTCTTTAGCATCAATAATGGCTCCTCTAAAGTGTTAGAATTCACTCTACAAGTTTTTTATATTATATCTAATTTTAGAACAATAGAGTATTATTATGTTAATTTTCTAATACGCGATTATCAGAAGACGGTTCCACTTTACCAGAACGTACCATAAAACTGTAATTTTCATAGTCTGAAATTGCATATGCAACGATCAAATATGTGACGCTTTTAACCAAGGTCGGTCGATGCTCTAAACAACATCGGCCACATCTCCCCAACGTTAGAGAATGAAAGGAGGTGCACAGGGTGCATGCTCCGTCGAGTCGTCCTTGACCCCGAAGTCAGCCTGTATTCTGTTTTGTACATCTCGCGAAGAATATAATATAACATACGTCCGCGTACGCATATCTCAATTTTGATCATTTAGATTTTAGATTATTTTGCTTCCACAACCTTGTGCCTCTTTTATATTGTATCTCTCGTCTTCCCAAATGTCAACTTACTTCCTAACAAATTTTTTTGTCCCGAAAACATGAGACAAATTGTATTTATGACTTTAAAACTAATTAATACTCATAGACTCGTTAATTAAATTTTTTCGATCAGTTCTTTCTTAATTCTTTGAACGCAACGATACTGCAAGTAAATAACACAAACGTTTATCGAATGAATCTTTGTCTCTACTAATTTCAGAAAACGACACGATAGAATTTCTTTAAATAATCGATCGACTTTTTTAATTAACGCTTTCTCATCCGTTATATCTAGTTACATAAAATAATGCAAGTTTATTTTACCGCTTACTTTTAGATTTGATACAACTATATAATTTTTGTTTGCTTTCGTTTTCAATCATAATAATTTTTTTATTAGTATTGTGACCAAAAAATCTCGAAAATAAGAAGCAAAATGCTATTAGAAATGAAATCTGTAATATCTATAAGTGTTTAATAATTTATAACAAGTTTATTTCTAATTTTAATTGTTAGTTTAGTAATTTAATAATCTACGCAATTTAATTAATAATTAATAATAGTCGATAGATTTGTATATCCTATAATTTTTTATTAATCGTTTTATATAATTGCATAAACTTATCGAATTTTTGTATTTATTTTATTATTAAATATTTATATAATTATTCATTATTATTAAATATTTACTAAAGATAAAAATGTATCAAATTTGAATTATTACATATTAATTAATTAAGCAAATTAATTAAAATAAAAAGTGTACTAAAATCATAAAAGCGTTAAACTTGAAGCCAGGTGGGAAAGGTTCAAGTCAAAATTATGAAAAACCAACGGAAGGCCAAACAGTGAGGAACCGAACCGGAAGTTGGCTATCTCGCGGCGGCGGTACAAAGGATGGCACTTAAAAATTCAATGCATTTCAAATGGGCCAGGAATCTGTCCTCAGGCGCCGTTCGCAAACGCTATTTTCACTCACGCTGGCATAGCTGTTTGTTGAGCTTTCGTTTTCCGGCTGACCTGTGATGATATTCCCTTCCTATATTCGGGAAAACCTCGCGATTTTGCATAATGACTCACATAAATAACGTACGATCATAGCGATTCGTTATCACTTTTGTTTGCTAATCGATAATATCGATAGATAGCACAATATCCTATCTTTAAGAATCAATTAATCAAATATCTATCTTAAGAATCAATCAAATAAAAATTAATAAATATTTGTATTTAATAACGTAATAAATACAATCTCGATAAGTTTATGCAATTGTTATTTTAATCCTTTTAAGCTTCAAATCTTTCGATTCTCTATATTATTTGACCGTGCTATATGTATATATGACATGTAATTTTATATTGTATTTTTCCAATCTTCGATCAATGGACCGCCGATTTTTTAAATTAAGATATATGCAATATTTTTAATTAAGATATATACAATATTTTAAATTAAGATATACATACAATAACCATGAGAGGTAAGCATTAAGTGAAAGTAAAGAAATTTGAATTGTACTGAGTAATACTATACATAAAATTTTTAGAAACTAATGTAAACCGCTATAAAAAAAAAAAAGTGGAAAAAGAGAACCTGACATACAAAACGAGATACCAAAGGCAATTGCTATCATAGTATAATCGAACAATCATCAATCGTAATTCAATTATAACCGTAATTTTAATGCGTGATATGGTATGATATGAGTCTAAACTTCGCGCGTACAAAATTCACCGTAAATTTATTTTCACCGCACAACACGCGCCAAATTTAGGACAGTGTGTCATCGGCTTCTATGTTTTCTACATTTGTCGCACGTAATGCGTACTTACGCATTATTTACACCAGCTCAGTAGACGCGTAAACAACATTAATCAAAAAATTTGAATTTTTTTAAAAAGAGACAAAAGCAGATGATTCTAAATTCTTATATAAGCAACTAATTTTTAAAAAATGTTATTGAAAAATATGCTTGTCTCCAAATATTTTTCTACAGCCTATTATTTTTCAGTATAAAAGTATTGTATATATATAAAATGTTAAATTCTGAAAATTGCAATTTTATATAACGCTCTTAAAAAAAAAAAATAAGTAATTTAATATTAATTAATATTGCATATCATTATTTTTTTTATAAAAGTAAGTCTCTCAGTTTACCTCCAAATATTTTCAATTTTTCAAAAAATTTATCAGAAATTTGTGAAAATATTGAAAACAATTCCATACAATGTTATCAACATCTATTATTTTAAAACCGAATAAAACATTGCAAGAATATTCCAAATGTAAATTCCACATATAGAAAAAATTATATTATTATAAGCAAAATGAATCCCAAAAGTTAATACGCAATTGACACGGAGCAATCTATGTATTCATCCTGCACTCGCATGTTAGCCACATCTCGAGAATTTCTCAAATTGTTTCGTTATTTTGCCGTTGAAAAATAGACTATAAATATTTGGAGAAAAAAAGGTCAAAATTCTCGCTAGTCAGCGATGCATAGAGAGAGAAAGAGGGGGTAGAAGAGGTGCTCTAGAGAATAAAAGAGAAATCGAGATGGTCGCAGGCGGACTATCGATTTTTTTTATACCCGAGCAGCCCATGTGCGAATAGTAATAGTGATGGGGAGAGGGATAAGGGGAGCAAAAGAAGTTACACAAAGGATAGCGTGACACAGAAACGGCCAATATGAAAATCCGCTTGCTCTGTTATACTTCGTATTTGCGTTACATAATGCAATTACGCACATTTTCACATTTTTGGCACCGAATTATAACACTATGTTAAAAATCCAATATCCTGCAATTATTTTTCCGTCTCCCTATTTCACCTTCTCCCAATGCAAAATGTATTGACCTCTACTAGCAGCAATTTACTTTCTTATTTTCAAAAAAATGAATTTAGGGATATTATGATAATTATTGTATTTTAAATATCTGACAAATTTTGATTTTATTCTGACATTCTTCAATTATTCCAAATTATTTTTCTCTGATAATTTGTAATCTTATTCTAATTTATCTTCGATACATTCCGATATTGATTTATGTATAACAAGTTTGCTTCCATAAATTATAAATTTATAAATATAAATATTAATTTATAAAACAAATTTATATGAGTATCCTCTCTCTTTGATTTATTATATTTAGTATTAATATATATTAAATCACTTATTTTTTACGAAAATATTTAAATTTATTTGCAGCGTCTAAAAAGATATTTAGAAATACATACTTTTACATCAATTAGTTTTTACTGATTCATTGAGATAATAAAAAGAGAGACTTTTTTCTAAAATTTTGAATTCCCTTCACAATATATGCGCGGATGCGGTACAAGAAATTGAACTAATATATTATAACTTATAAAAGGTATAAGTTATAATTATGTTACCTAACTTATTATTAGTATAACACTTACTAATTTATTATTTTTAAAACACTCACCTATTTTTCTCCAACTCGTTATGAGTCGTCCTGAAAGCAATAAAAGAAAACGCTCATTACGTCTTTGAATAGCAAGAAAAACGTGATTTGTGATAAGACCAGAAATTGAGCGATGATATTAATATCGAGACCAATTGATACAACACAAACATGATATAAAATCGAAAAAGCGAATATTTATCAGATAAAACATATTTCAAAACATATAGCTATAAATAATTTTAAATTGCAAATGGCAATATTTTGAGTTGTTGCATATGAAATGTCGGATTCCGGAAAGTCACGATTTAATAAAACGTTGTTATAAAATAAATATCTCCTGATAATCGAGTGTTGTATTATGCATCACGTTATAATGATATAATTCTTTTACAAAATCACGCTTTATTTCTTGCGAATTGCTTACAATTTTGCAAAAATGTAAGAAATTGAAAAATTTGAATAACATTCTCCTTTACAGTTTGAAAGTTGGATATTATGGAAACAGTTCATAATAATGCACTTGAAAAATTTATATTAATGTGAGAAAAAAGAAGAAAAAATAATAATATTGCAAAATTTAACATATGAAATGAAAAAAAGATAATTTTACTTTATAAAATTTGAATCAATTTTTATAAATATCATTTCTAAAAAGATATCTGTGCAGACAAACCTGCTGCCTTGCGACTTCTTTGTCTTTGGCCTCTTTGTAACCGTCCGCATATCATCGGGTATTGGCATCGTTGAAGCATAGCCATGTTCAGCTTCTGTAATCATAAAGGAATAAATCGATAAGTGGAATGTAAAATTACATACAGTATTCTAAAATTAATGGCCTAAGCTTTACGGAATCAAAATAAGCGAAGCTTAACAAATGGGTACGAAGATTATTCATCTTTATCTCTAATATTATCTTTTTCAGATTTAAACTGTTGAATATCATACGATTTTATTCTTAATAATATTTTCGTATCTTCAAAAACAATGTAATTATTTCGATATAAAAAACGGCGACGTGACTCTCATAAAAGAGTTTGAACTTTTGAAGCTTGTTAAGCTCGTTACAGAGCGAGTGAAGATGCGGACGCACCGATATTGAGTCACGTTTTATTTTCTTAGACTGTTCCAGGAGTGTCACGTCCGATCGAAGTACGATCGTGCCTCGTTTTGTGATTTTTCAAGCAAACAAACGTTCAACTATTTCGATTCAATAAGTGTTTATCATTGAGTTAGGCTCCTATTGTTCGATAAAGAGAGTGTCAAATGTAATGTTTACATTTCTATAAATAGATATCGAATTAAATTGGAATAAACAAATACATCAAATTGATGTTGAAATAAATGCATCGGAATATATTTGTATAAATAGAGGTCGGCTTTAAATTAAGATACGAACAGATACTTGAAATCGAATAAAAATAGATAGAGACTTTAGAATAAATTTCCATAAATAAAAAGATCACAGGTAAATTGAGACAAAACTTCGGGGATCGTACTTTTACTCAGATTTACTTTCATTCGCGGATCACCAAAACTTCAATAAAAATTACATATTCGTAATAAATATTTGTGGCTCATTTTAATTGAAAAATTCGGTAATATAATAATTTGACATTTATTATAAAATAAACATTTCTAAAAATTATCGTCTTTATAATATCACGTCTGATTTTACGATCATAAAGTAATTTTCCGGTTTTACACATACATTTCCCCAAATTTACAATAATTCGAAAAATTACTAATATTTTACAAAAGCGCGCCGACTTTATGCTTTGTTACAAAAATTACGCGTTATTTTAATGCGATATATGATATTGGATCATCACAAGTGAGACGTTTATTTTGCAAGAGTATTACATAAAATTGGAACTTGCGAAATTCATATGCAAATGAGACTCGATCGCTCTTTCGGAAATCTAACGTCATACTACGCACGAGGGGATACGCATGCGCACGCGCGCGGGAAATGACGTGCGTCCTCGCATGCACACGCGGCTCTAAGTGCGACGTAGCTGCATTATAAGTGGAGTGATAAAATGAGATCATCGCGCCGCGTCCGATCCACTAGGAAAACAAAGATAGCGGTGGCGAGATGAAGCGTATTTTTAAATCGTATGAATTTTTTGTTAAAGAGATATATTCTCTCTCCAAATAGAAACATCTGTTGCAAAAAGAATTTATATTTGAGAGATTCAAATTAGTATTATATAGTCTCACATATTTAAGAAATCTGAATGTCAATTTAACTATGATAACTTTCATAAAGCGATTCGATTAATTGTTATGCGATAAATATTTAAAGCAGATATACACGTCAGAATTAATAGCAACATACAATGATTTCTTAATAGATTTCATTTTTCTAGATTTTTCTATCGGTATGTTTAAACTTTTAATGAAACAGAAGAATGTCTGACATATTGTTTCTAGATAACAACTTCGGTAAAAAATACTACATCGAAGATTTATTAAAAATATAATTAAATATTCCTGTAAAGAATTAATCCTACGAAGTTTATCGCGTGTGGAATAATTTTTAATTTTCTTTTTCTTTACATTTTAACACGATTTAATGACTTAACTGGGATTTAATTATGATATTTCGTTTTATAAATTCATATATATTATACTGGCAATGAATATTTACGCTCACGTTACAACTGATTATAATCGCGACACATATCGATATCGCGCGCGTAAGCAGAAAAATATGAAATTTAAATTAAATCAGATATATTGAAAGAGTTCAATGTACTCGGCGGCCTGCAGTAGGGCAGCAATGCTCATATTTCCTCGGTTTGGCGTAATCCTGGCGGCTTCCGTTCACGCTCACTCTTTCTTCCTCTCCTCCTGCCGCACGCTCCGGAGCCGACACACGCGACGGAATACACAAGCGCACGCACGCAGTACACTCACACACCCGCGCGCGCGCGCACGTGCGCGTACGACGGGCGCCTGGGCGAGAATGAAGGGGGAGGGCCACGAGATACGTAATCGTGATGTCTTCGGCCGCCGTGCCGCGCCGCCTCGGGCGATTCCGCCGCTCTTCGGTTATCCTCGGACACGTAACTGCGCGCACCAACGCGCACGAGCACCGACGACGATGACGACGCGCACCGACAAGCGAGGAACGTGCACGATCCGCGGACGGCAACGGCGACGGCGGCGACAGAGAATCGAGATGGATACGCGGAAAGCTTCCTCTACGCTGTTTTTCCCCTTTGATCCTCGCGTCTGTCGCGTACGCGATCAAAATTAATAAATATCCCGAACAAGTCTTCTCTCTCTTTCTTTCTCAGTCGTTTAATCTCACTTCGGTTGATAAAACTCTCTTCCACGAAATTTCAATGTTAATGAACTTGTCGACACTATTTCAATTATTAACGTCAATCACTGATATCAAATCGCTAATGAATCGATCACTGAACGTTTTCGCGCAACACTTAAAATTCTTCCCGTTCGAATGTTCTTTTGTGTAGCGTCCCGTGCAGCGTCGTTTCAAACACTGTCAGATCATCAAACAAGTCAGAAGCCGCGTTCTCCTATGTTGTGTTTCCCCTTCGATCGTGACTGTCCCAATCGTTTTATCCTTTCCTTCTGGTCACAGTACTTTTCCTCTCTCTTGCTCTCTCTCCGCTACTCCTTCCACACCGTGTATATCACCACATTTACCGCGATTACACTATAAATCACACAAGAGAAAACCGATTATCAATCATCGTCGATCGTGCTCGGCACTGTTGCGAACGCGATTTCGTCTACACGACTCCAACAACAACACAATGCTCCCGTAAAGTACCGCGTGAGATAACTGCGCTTCGAACACCGCCGAGAGAAGCCGATCGTGAACAGCGCATACGCACAAGTAAACACAAGCGCGTGCGCGCGCACACATACGTGTAACGTAGTACACACATACAACACATGCAGACACGAAGCATCGCACGATGAGCGAAAGAGTGAGAGAAGACGGAAGATGAAGAAAGGGGACAGAATGAAAGAGAGAATACGCCTACGCGCGGTCGCGTAACGCGAGAAAAATAAACAGCGAGTAAAACGGAAACAGAGCGAGAGCGAAAGAGATGGAAATAGATGGATAAATATAGCAAGAGCGATAAAGCAAAATTTATTATACGCTTCAAAATGAAATTCCCTACGAGTTAAAAACATACGGAAAACAAAAATTTTATCCTCTATTGCATATTTACGTTTAATTATTAGAATTTAATTAAAAAATTTATCTGCATAATTCTTTATACAAGGACGAAAATACAAAATCAATTAACCTCTACTAACATTTTAATACATGTGCGTATGTAAACATATAATATACATATTTAAATTTAAAAAAAATATATAATTTATATAATACACTTT